CACTCCAGTCTGGGTGACAGAGTGAGACTCCAACTCAAAAAAACAACAACAAAAAAAAAAAACCCCCCAAAACTGTTTTGAGCAGTGGAAAAAGCATCTTGATAGATGTATTACATCAAATGGAGTGGACTTTGAAGGTGACTGAAGTTTAAACTTGTCAGAATAAATACACACTTTTAAAATAAATTCTGGTTTGGGGGGGTTTACCTGGTATTATCTTATTTAATTATTATTATTATTATTTTTTGAGTCGGAGTCTTACTCTGTCGCCCAGGCTGGAGTTCAGTGACATGCTCACAGCCACCCCAGCGTCAACTTGCTAGGCTCTGGCAATCCTTCCACCTCAGCCTATCACACCTCGCTAATTTTTTGATTTACGTTAGAGGTGAGTTCTCACCAAGTTGCCCAGGCTGTTCTCGAATCCATGTGCTCAGACAATCCTCTTCCCTTGGCCTCCCAAAGTGCTGGGATTACAGACTTGAGCCACTGCGCTCGGCTCCAGTTGACATTTTTAAAATTATTTATATATTTATTTTTTTGAGTCAGGATCTCACCCTGTCACCCAGGCTGGAGTGCAGAGGCATGCTCATGGCTCAGCGCAGCCTCCACCTCTTGGGCTCAGGTGATCCTTCCACTTCATCCTCCCCAGTAGTTAGGACTATAGGCACATGCCACCATGCCCAGCTAGTTTTTCTGATTTTTTTTTAGGGACAAGGTTTTACTATGTTGTCTGGGCTGGTCTCGAACTCCTAGGCTCAAGCAATCTTCCCTCTTTGGCCTCCCATAGTTCTAGCCACCATGCCCAGCCCAGCTGGCATTTAAAGAAGAGATAAAGGTCCATTTGCTTTAGATATTATATTTAATTATTTTATCCTAACAACTACCAAAGTGTTGGTTTAAGAAAGAAACCTCATTTTAAAAGGAAAAAAGAAAAAACCCCAGAAATACCTAAGGGAAGTGAGTTATTTCAAAATCACATAACTTTTCATTAGTGGGTACATCTCTAATTAGATGCTAGATTTTAATTTTTTAAAAACCAGATATAAAGCCAGGTTCGGTGGCTCAGCCTGTAATCCTGTGCCTTTGGGAGGCTGAGGTGAGTGGATTGCCTGAGCCTGCGGGTTCGAGACCCACCTGGGCAGCGAGACCTCATCTCTACAATAAATCAAAGAATCAGCCGGGCATGGTGGCGCACGCCTGCAGTTCCAGCTGCTTGGAAGGCTGAGGCGGAAGGATCACCGGAGCCCATCAGGTCAAGGCTGCGGTGGCCGGGAGCAGCCACTGCACTCCAGTTTGGGCGACAGAGTGAGACTCCAACTCAAAAAAAAAAAAGAAAGAAAGAAAATTACCCATATGTACATAGCCAAATATATGTGTGTGTGTAGAGAGGGTACCAAAAAATGTATACACATTTTAAGAAAGGAGAAAACTGTATTAAAATTGTAATAATAAGATGAATACAAGTCACATCTGACTTCTGCAATTATAAGAGCTGCTCCAAGTGGTTTCCATTGGCATCCAGACACTTCTGATTATGGCAAACATCTCTTAATGTCTCTTAAAATGTGTGTACATGGCTGGGCACAGTGGCTCACGCCTATAATTCCAGCACTTTGGGAGGCTTAGGTGAGAGGATTGCCTGAGCCCACGGGTTCTAAACCAGCCTGGGCAACTAGGCGAGACCTCATCTCTACAATAAATCAAAACATTAGCCAGGCACGGTGGCGCATGCCTGTAGTTCCAGCGACTTGGAAGGTTGAGACGGAAGGATCACCTGAATCTAGCAGGTTGAGGCCGCGGTGGCTGTGAGCGTGCCACTGCACTTCAACCTGGGCGACAGAGTGAGACTCCAACTCAAAAAAAAGAATGTGTGTACATGTTTTGGCACCCCGAGGTATATATAGGACTTTGGACAGCAATTAAACATGCAGATCATTCAAGACCACCTGGGCAACTTGGTGAGACCTCATTTCTACAATAAATCAAAAAAAAAGAAAGAAATTAGAGCATAGTTGTCCAGCTGCCTGACAGTAGGAGACAGTATGACTTAGTGTCCAGCCACGGATCAGACGGTTTGTGAGTGTTGTTGAAATTTTAAGGGAGAAGAGTTTATATTCAGCTGTAATGGTGACTGAAAACCATACTAGCATTTCAGTGGGGTGTGCTGGGAGGATGAATTTGCATTAAAGTGACTGGAGGGAGGGGTGAAGTGGGGGGGTGGAGGAGAGCTTGAGTGAGTCCTTAATAGGCAGCAGTGATAGATCAGCCTCACTGCAGAGAGTACAGGTTGAGCAGAAGCAGAAGATAAGATTAGAGAAAGGCGTTGAATGCCGTTAGAGTTTGCTTGCCCACCATTGCTCATAGGATAAAATTCAATCAAAGATTCTTGAACTGAATTGTAATGTGATTATGGTGGTGTTTAAGCTGGCTGGCAGGCTGATGCTATTTGGATTCAAGTGAGGATAGATTGGAGATAAGAGACAAATTGGGAGGCCATTAAAATAACTCAGGCAGGAACCAACAAGAACCTGAACTCCAAGATTTCTCATGTAAGTGACTGATAAATGATAACAGGCCTGGGCGCAGTGGCTCATTCCTGGAATCCCAGCACTTTAGGAGGCTGAGGTGGAAGGATCGCTTGAGGCCAGGAGTTTGAGACTAGCCTGAGTGACATAGGGAGACC